TGAGGACAAGATTCTGCAAACTCCACAAACACCTCCCCCACTCGGAATGCTGACTGTGGAGGACATTATACGGCAGTATGCCAATGTGTTTAGACCGGAGCGCGGGAAACTCCTCGGGACACCTATGCATATTGAGTTGGACCCCTCTGTTACACCCGTACATGCCACAACACGCCGAGTGCCCGTGGCAAAGTTATACCGGGTAAATGAAGAACTGAAAAGACTTTGTGAGAAAGGGATTATTACGCCTGTTACCCAACCTACAGACTGGCTGTCTAACCAGTCCGGAATATCCCTAAATTTAAGAACAGGGCCAACTCGTCACGCGACACTTTTCAACCAATGAGAAGGCGCGCTTGTGTTTATTAAAACACAAATCAAAACATCGCCCCAGTGATCAAAAATTTTCACAACGGAGGACGGAGTCGGACAGAATCGAAGATGAGCTTACAGTACTCGTCTAGGTTTCACATTTAATATTTCAAAGAAAACATTTCATGTAAAAGAATAAGAGCATTATTCATTGCAAGGAATCATTGGGGTGTTCGAACTGATTCCGGACCGATCGCAGAGGTCGTGGCTTCACTGGCATGGCTTGCAAGATTTTTGATAGAAGCAAACTGGTCCCGTATAAAATAGCCTTAGAGAGAGTGAAAATTTGTTGAGATCGTACAAAACAGGCTTGGTACTACCTATTAACTTCTACAGGACAAGAATCAAAGAGCCAGTCATCATAACAAGAATAAAAAGTAGTTCAAATTTATCAAATTTTCTTGCTTTTTTTGTGTTGTTTCGTGTTGACTTCACGCATCTGGTGCTTTCTTTGCTCGCTGTAGTACCTGCAATGCTTTAATATTATCCCAGATAATCAGTGCATGTTCAATGAGTAGCGAAATACATCATTTACAGTTGAAATTAGTCTTCCTTATTTGATTGTTTGAACATTTGGAGAATCTAACAACAATAATCTTTCCAGATTTCTTGAATTTCAGAAACAAAGCGGTTTAATAGTATCTACCTTGCGCTTATGATCTTCAATTTCATCTCCGCAAATTCGGCAAAGTGGGGCGAGATGTTGGACGTGAATATCCATAAGACTAATAAAGTTGTTTTGGCCTTGAAAAGAAAAAAGGCAAAGGCTCGTGCTAATGCGAAAAAAGTAATAACACAGCTCTGTGAGAAACCCGGGAGTGGAAAACCTGCGTGCTTTGGACCTCGGAATTCAAAAATTGTCTACCAAAATTCTAGGTTGTCTACGATCCCCAAATTCAACATGATAAAAGTTAATCGATATGACAATCGAGGAAAAATATCTAGAACTTCGTAAAAAATCTGTGAATCGAAAAAATAATAGATACTTGTTCACCTACCTTGAAAACCGACCAAAATCTCGCCTATACATCGCGTTGTTTAAAAGAAGAAATAAGCCACAAAATGTGCTGAATATTTCACGAGACACTTCCAATATGGCTTCCGATACGCTGTCCACTTAAAAAGAATTGTGTATGCCTCATGAAAAGTCTTAAAAATATGCCTGAGAGCCTCGAAATGATGACTGATTCTGTCCGACTCCGTCCGCTGTTGTGAAAATGTTTGATCACTGGGGCGATGTTTTGATTTACGTTTTGATTTGTTTTGATAAACACAAGCGCGCCTTCTCATTAGTTGAAAAGTGTCGCGTGACCAGTTGGCCCTGTCCTTAAATTTAGGGATATTCCGGACTGCTAACATGATGGTTAAAAAAAACCAAACGGCAAACTTCGCGTCTGTATTGACCCAAGCCAGACAATAACCAAGACGATTAACAGACCCAAATACACGATACCGACCATGGAAGAGAAGTTTCCCCCACTAACAAAAGCCACAGTCTTCACCACTGTTGATGTATCTGAAGCATTCCACACCATTGTACTGGATGAAAAGTCCTCTCTACTCACGACGTTTCAGGGGCCAAACGGTCGCTATTGCTATGACAGCATGCCGTTGGGTATTGCTTCTGGTCCGGAGAAATACCAGCGGCTACAGCACGAATTACGAATTTTTAGACGGTCTACGCGGTGTAATTAACATCGCCGACGATATTTGCGTGTATGTGCGGCGACATAAAATAAGACGCTGGAATCGACCACGACCGAAACTTGGTGCAGTTCTTGGAGAAGTGTGCTGATCACGATCTACGGCCTTGTGCGAAAAAACTTCAGTTCAAATCTCCGTCACTTTCATGGGGCACAAGCTTTGCCATAAGGGGGTGGAGTCCGATCCTGCCAAAGTAGCCGCCATCAGAAAATGCCAGTTCCAACAGACAAAGCTGCAGTGCAGCGCTTCCTGGGAATGCATACACGACAAACCTTGTCGGTGATGGTCAAAAGTGAGTACATACCTATTTGAATTAAATGGCAGCAATTACCTCGTCCTGGTGGACCGCTACAGTGACTACTCTGAGCGCAAACCCTTGCGAAACACATTGGCTAGCACAGTCATACGAGCCATGAAAAGAAATTTTGCCCGAATTCCTGACGAATGCATAACTGATAACGGCCCACAGTTTGCCAGCCGAATGCTCGCGTTTCGCTCGCGAGTACGGGTTTACCAGTACAAAATTGTCACCCTACCACAGCCAAGGAAATGGGAAGGCAGAATCAGCAGTTAGGATTTCCAAGATTATTCTAAAGAAATCACGTCATGAGGACCCGTACTTAGCTCTTTTGGCGTACCAAAACACGCCCCAACAAGGATACGACTATTCCCCTGCCGAGTGATTAATGTCCCGAAAACGTGGGGACATTATTCCTACAGCTACCAGTCAGTTCGTCCCAAAATTAGCTTGTCCTGGAGTTGTACATGGAAGCATTGCAGAAAGGAGAAATAGGTCGAAGGTGCAGTACGACAAAAGGCACTAACCCCGCTTAGAGAGTTCACAGAAGAGGAAAAAGGGTATCTCAAACACCGCCCCACAAACAAGTCTCAACCATGGATCTATGAGGAGGTAGTAGAACAGCCCACTCCAAGGTCTTGCGTGGTTAAAACAGCAATGGGACCAGTTCGCTGTAATCATTGCCAAATCAGAAGAGCGAAAACAGACCCAGCTGATGGGTACAGCACAGTGATGGACCAGCTTGAAATCGCATCTACGCAGTCAGCGCAAGAACTGGAGAGACAACCACCAAGCCCTCAATCAACTGGAGAAACATTTGCCCAGCACACCCGGATTCGAATCGGAAGACATGGTACCTGCAACGATAGAGTGTGGACCGCACCGATCACAACGTGAGCGCAGACGGCCTTCAAGATTCAGAGACTACGTCGTGTTAAAAACACTGTTCTTATAGGACTCGTTTCAGAGACTAGGTCAGGTCGAGACTATTTTAATAGAAGTATTTTTCTTTCTTTTTTTTTGTTTGCCTGTTTTTTAAAAGAGGGAGGGTGTTACATAACTATGTATCACATGCTTCGTTGCACCAAGCACCAACATGTTATTAACATATTGTCGCACAGACCTTTGTATACTTTACACTTTGTACATATTTAGAGATTGCAACGCATTAAATATTCAGTTTAGGACATGTAACAGAGACGTTAACAGAATGATTAGTTGTTTAGTTAGTTCTCTAGTTATTATAATCCTTTTAACATAGTAATATCCATTTTACGATCTTAAAAAAGAAAATCATCGTCGTGAACTTGTCCAGGGGCTGTACTCGTGTGAAAGCCCTAAATGGTTTGCTGAGAGCGCTGGCCCAGGCATAATTATTCTATGCTTTCTCTGTATTCAGTTGAGAAAGGGCAAATACTGAATAAATGAAAAATGTCAAATGACATAATCATGATCCGTAGGTTTCAATCCGAAGCTTTTTTGACATTGTTGCAGGACGAAACTGTTCCCTGAGCGGTCCACTATGGTACCGCGTGACTGCTGTGTTGTCGGATCTTAGGCATCAATACTTCTGGTAGCGTCTTTTCAACGTCCTTGTTGATGCTGTTAGGTTGACTTGTTAGGTGGATAGCCTTTACATAAAGAAACTTAAACTTAACCTCGCCCGAAAGCGGATAATAGTAGTATGTTAGTGCCGTTGTATTTATATTACGGGACGGCCTTTTTGAGGCATATTATTTAAAGTTCAACAAAGTTTTGGCTGAAATACAGTCAACTCTCTCATAGCGACCACTTCTCGAAAGCGACCACCTTCCGTAAGCGACACACTTTACAAATAACCTTTTTGTTTCTCAGGCAAACACTGTTTCAAAAACTCTCTCGTAAGCGACCACTATGTAAATTTCTTAAACCACCGCGACTACTTTTTGGGCCAGAAATTTGACATATTCTTTTGTTTTCTGTTTCCGGTTGTTACGCGGGTAATTTTTTAGAGGATCGGTAGCTTGCAAACTAAACTGAACGCAGGGTTGTCGGAACAGCAACAAGAAGATTTATTCCAAAAGTGAACATAGTTTCCACTAAGTAAAACTCTACAACAGCACTCGTTAAACTTACACAGCCTCTGCCAAATGCACTTAACTTGATAAACTTACACAGCCTCCGCCAACTTGAATAAACACTGCCTCCGTCACACTTGACTAAACACGACTAACGTCAAACTCTCTAGATCTTCGCTTGTGAAAACTAGTTAAAACTTAACTCGGACTCGCCTACTTATATACTTTTACAATAAGATTCTAGAACTTTAGAAATAGTCTAATTATAGAAAGATTGCGAAGTATACCGCTTTAGAAACGCTTACACAAGATCCTAAAATAAACAAACTACGAACTCTCGCGAAGCTTCTAGAATGTCACGTTTAAATGTAGCCTGATTCTCAGACGTCCGAGGTCGTTCGCAGTCCCTTTCGCTTCTCTCCCTCTCCCGTCTGATATACTCTGTGCGAAGTCGTGTTCGTGACGTCAGAGTCATTGTCAATTTTCACCAATCAGAGCGCGTGTACCATATTTCGAGAAGTGTGGAATGTATGGAATGTAATTTCCCACACATTGAGTCAAATCAAAATGGCGGAAGATGTGGAAGGTTTCGATTCAGCTGTGCAAAACGCTTGCCAAGTTTTTGCCGTAGAAACACTGTTCCCGAACAGTTCAAAGCGCTCAAAACGTTTGCTTATGGTACTGACGTCCTTCTAAACTTGCCAACGGGGTTTGGAAAGTCTCTTGTGTTCCAGATGGCTCCTTTAGTTCACGCCGAGTTATCACGAGGCCGCGATGGATTTGCAGCGAACCCAGTAATAATTATAATATCTCCTTTAGTGAGCCTCATGGAAGATCAAACAAGTTACTTACGGAAATGTGGCATCTCAGCTTGCTCGATAGGAGAGGATAAGGTACTTGACATGAGGATTGAGAAAGGAGAGTGCTGCGTGGTATTTTCTTCGCCGGAATCCTTGTTAGGAAATGGTAGGTGGCGAAGCATGTTATCTTCCGACGTTTACCAGAAGAATTTAATTGGCATCGTTGTGGACGAAGCACATTGTATTAGCCATTGGTAAGCAATATTTTTGGTTTTTTAATTTGACACCCGAACAACCTTAGGTCTATCATTTATAATAACCTTAAGCGAGGGAAAAAATAATTGTAGCAACGATAGAACAGTAGTGAGCTTATCTGAGAGCAAAGTTCTTCACAATCTTCAACAGAAACATACATGCAAAGAAAGAGGGCACTATCATTATTTTTTTTTACTTTTACAGGGGAACTTCCAAGAGTAAAGAGGCAATGGCCTTTAGAAGATGGTTCTACAAATTAAGCGAGTTGCGTTCTTTGGTACCAAATAAAATTCCGTTCATGGCTGTAACTGCCACAGCAACAAGACAGACAAAGGAAACAATAACTTCTGTCCTTCGATTTGGAAAATTTGTTGAAGTATCTGAAAGCCCAAACAAGGCAAATATTTGTTACAGTGTCCAGACGATTGATAAGCGTAATCCACTCATTCAATATTTCCAGTGGATAATGAATGAACAGAAAGAGAAGAGGGGCGGAACAGAAAGAACAATTATATATTGCCAAACCTTTAAGCAGTGTTCAACATTGTATTCCCTCTTTGCACAAGAAATGGGTGACTCAATATTTGCCAATGACAACAAAGATCCCAGAAATCGTGTAGTTGAAATGCTGCATGCCCTTTCCTCAAAGTCAATCAAAGAGGTCGTTTTAGAAGAAATGGGACAGGAAACTGGCTGCATTTGAGTACTCATCTGTACAATAGCCTTCTGCATGGGAGTTAACTGTAAAGGGGTCCAAAGAATAATCCACTTGGGGCCGTCAAAGTCTGTGGAGGCCTACATTCAGGAGAGTGGAAGGGCAGGTAGGGATGGAAGCCCGAGTAAAGCCCTTCTGCTATACCAGCCACTGATGCTTCTTCATGTTGAAAAAGACATGAAAGACTATGTTAAAGGCAAATGTACCTGCAGACGTGCATTTCTAATGAGCCATTTTGATCAAAAGGGTGGAAAGCCTCAAAGTGACACTCAAAGTGATTTTGTTTGTTGTGACCTTTGTTCTAAGGATGAAAATTTGAAAGTTCCTATTTCAGCACCTGCCCCTTATGCTGGAAAGACACGTACAGTTCCACTTCACAGAAAGCCACTTTGAAAGGAAAGCTCATAAGATTAAGGAAATCACTTTTGGTGGAGCTATTACATCAATCTCCGAAAGGAGGATTACCAGTTGCATCTGTTCCTGAACTGTTAATTGGGTTCTCAGACTCTCAGATTGCTCAAGTTTTGGAAAACTGTGACAAGATATTCAGCATTTCTGACATCAAGGCAAATGTTGAAATCTGGAAAGAAAGGCATGCATATGCAATTATGGACACTTTGGCAGAGGTCTTCCAAGATTTAAGTCACCATGCAGGGCAAGCATATGACTGTCAAAATTACGTTGATGAAGATGAAGAAGATGATGACTGGGATGCATTGTTCGATGATGTGGAGTTAATGGATGTGGACTGGGACAACTTCTCTGCTAGTAACATATTATATGATGATTCCACCTTTGTAGAGGAAAGTCAAGATTTTGAAAGCAGTGATATGCATGTTCCCGAACTGGGTGATCTGATTGACAAAGTCCAAATAGAGTGAATTAACATTTCTAGTAAGTTAAGCTTGTTCTTGATATGTGGTTTTCTACTTTGCCAACTATTGTCACAAACTTAGACATCTCTCTTCTTAGGCCGTTTATCTCTTTAGATGAAAATTTACCTTTGTTTGTTCATTGGGTTATGTAAATTATAAAGTAATAAGTACATTTGTACTCGTGGTGTTTTATCATACCTATTTGACTTTAATTTGATACAGTAAAACCCTTTAACTTACAGAACCTGCATTTCCCTAGTTACACTGTAGCCTAAACAGGTTCTTACATAAATGGTAATTTAGCACAAATTTAGGGTATTAAGGTTCTTATTTTCTGAAGGAAAAAATACATTGTTAGCTAAAAGTATTAATTCTTCTTTCATTGAACAATGCAAACAGATCTTTGTAGAGAGGGGGCCTACATGTAACTGGCAAATTTTAGCCTAACAGGTTCTTAAAAACCAGTTTCTCAGTTGCAGGTCTTTACTGTTTGGTACTCTTTATACCATATAATGTAGAAAGTAAAAGAAGGATGAAATGAGATGAGGAGTTAATCTATCACAAATTAATTGCAGTTTGAAATTTTAGAAAACAATGTTCATTATGCGCAGATAAATTTATGCTACATGTCAAGTCTATCTTGCTTTTCTTGCAAGATCAATGTTTTTCTTGTGCTTATTAATCCACTGATATAAATTGGACATGTCCAGCCTTGACAATGGGTCTCTGACAAAGTTTGAAAAGTGCTTGTAATGTCTTCCTGGAGTGCGGCAAAACACAGACTCTTCAATAAGTGAATTCACAACAGCTCTTAGATCTTTTGAGTAGTCAGCTGAAACGTGCTTGCCTGACCTTTGCTTGACAAGAATTTCTCTGTCCATGCAAGAAAGCATTTGTTTGGACTTTTGAAATTCTCCTTACTGCATCCTCTGTAACATTTGGCCCAAGATTTTTCATAGGTTGTTTTAGATCATTATTGTCATGTTCCAAGTCAAGATCAATAGCAACATTTTTCCCTGGCCCCCCTTTGTTGTTAACTGTACGATTCCATACCAAGCTGTGGGCCTCAGCTGGGGGAAGGAGAGAATATACCTGCAAAAGCAGGTAAAGAGCTTCTAGTGCATACTTTGTAGTAGATTTGTCTTCTTTGAAATGCAGCAGAAAGAACTTCCAGCATCTAATTGATCTGTCACCATCTCCCTCTGATGTTGAATCAAGAAAGTTCAAAAACAAGAGCCCTTGAGCTAACAGTGAGCAGTTATAATTAAAAACATCATCATCATCATCTAAATCACTCAATGAACCTTTCTTGGGATAATTAGAGGATAGCACAGGCTTTTCAGGGATTACAGGGGGAGGATCATGGGTAAGTTCATGGTCTCTCCTCCTTTTGCCATCATATTTAAATGATTTATTACATCCTGGGCTTCGGCAGGGGAATCTTCCATCAGTAGTCAGCTCTTGATTATTAACAGCATCATTCTTTTCCTGTTCAGAAAGTATTCCATCTAAGAAGCTATTTAGGGAGTGCTGATCTATAACAAATTGATCTACAATTTGGCCAGACAGTTTCATTAAGTAATGTTTTTTCTCCTGGTGATTACCACTTCTTGCAGCAGCAGGT